GTAAATGTAGATGCTTCTTGCGGAGTTTTCTTCAAGATAACATTTTAAAGTCATATTTTTCCCATTTATTTTTTTGACATACTTAAACTTTATTTTCCTGTTGTTATTTTAACAAATATATATTTTCTGAGATTCTTCCAAGCTTTATATTACATAAGAAAAGAAAATAAAAATAATGTTAACACTTTTTAAGAGTAAAGTAGTTTTAAAATAAATAATGTATTAATTTAGCTTTTAGCTTAGCATCTAAATCAAAATATCCATATCCAGTTTTCACTACCAAAATTCTTCGGGCAGTAAAATTATTTATAACCCAAAGGAATTGGATGTAGTTAATTGACCACACAAAAATAAATTCTATTTAAGTACATATTTTAATATTATCTCAGGATTATAGAGTTAAATGCGGCTCTAACCAAATTATTAAGATGTCATTTTAATACGGGTAATGAAATATCTGTATTCTTTTATTAAAGGTAACCTCTTAAAAGACAGCACTTTTTATTAAATTAGTATAACTATAAATAAATAACGACAGCGTCCATTTACTTCATTAATCCAACAATTTTGATGTGAAAAATAGTTTCTAAGCTCAATTTTTGGCCAAATATTCTCAATCACTACTAATACGAAATCAAAACAAATATATTGGTACGGTTACAACAAGTTTTAAATAGCATTACAAAACAATGAATAGAATGTATGAAGGATGTATGTTTTTTTCTTGGAGACTGCAACAATAATGTCGAAATGTAAAATATTTTCTTAATTATCGCAATCTTTTCAGAATAATGACGTTTATTTTATTGTGATGCTGTCTGCTGTCGAGACTCGCGAAACAGTTACACTTCCTATGTATTAAAATCAGAAAAGTTAATGTAATTTAAAATTATTTTATATTATTGTTTCTCTAATTTTAATTTTTTAAGAGAGAGTCTAAAGTTGAAAGGGTCTAATAAAAAGTATGCGCTGTTAACTTAACTGTTTGTCAACATGTGATATAAAAGTTTCTTCAAATGGATAGTAACAACTAAATGATAGCTCGTTATTAAATAACGCTTTCCTAATGTTAACAATAAAATAAACAATTAACCTTCTAAATACATGAACTACTGGCCTTTTAAATACTTCTTAATTAATTATACATTCAATTATTTTTATACCATATTTATAGTTTTTATGTTATAAACTATCTAAGTCCAAAAACAAGTCTGAAATTTTCTTTACAGAATTAAAAGATTATTTAACAAAGGTATAACTCGTATTGTTTAAATATAATGCCTAAAAAGTAACCTATGATATTGTCCACCATCAAATTGCTTATATCACAACTTATTTCTTATAAAGCAGTACCGTAGAAAAATAGAACGTCGAAAGAGTAGTTTAATAATTTTTAATACGTATTTATACTATCTTTAAAGCAAGTAATGGCCAGTGATATACACGTACATATACATATAACAAAACAAGGAAACGGCATCAAATTGATTTAAAAGAGACTAAGTCAAGTTAAATTTCACTTCTTGTAAGCAAGGTTTAGGCTTTAGATTGTAAACAATTTATTTAAATATTCATATATTATGTAGATATTATTTATTATCTTTATAAATATTAAGAAAATTTCATAAAAAAAAACAGTAACAATTTAACTTCTTTTTGTTCTATACATATTTGTTATGTTATGTTTTGGCACAATAAGTAAGAACTTTTTTATTATGAATGAAGTTAAATATTTATCATAAGTATAAAAGATTTATATAACAATGGCACAGGGTTTTTATTATTTATACAACACTTCATAAAGTACGAATGAAAGTCTCTCTGGATTCCGTTTTTACAGTAAACCTATAATATTATTAATAGTACATACTCAGTTTCTCACGTTATTGATGTGTTCCGACTTTTTACGACTTATATATCATTTGTTATTTGATTTGATAAATCGTTAATCTCAAACTGGATAGAATAAAACAGGAATGAATGTATATCTCTGTGTTTAACAAAAAGATTTATATAAAACATTTAACATGCAGAGACTATTTAAAATGTTAATTTCGACAAACGGGGTTTTCACGGATAATGCTAAGTAATTTTAACTTTTGCATGCAACTTTTAGAAGTTTTCAATGAGTTTAAGAACTTAGCACTTCCGTCTGGGATTTGAACTTGTTCTTTAGGATATGGTATAATCTATCAGAACAAAAATCTTTGTGAATTTTTACAAATTTTCACAATTGGAGTGATAGTTTTGTTACAACTTATTAGAAATACACAACCATTTTACCGTCTTCAACTCAAACATCATGCAAATGTATTGAAGTATGTTTAAGTTCACATCCCTTTTTATGTTTTAATTATACTTTTATATTTATCTTTTATTATTGAACCTTCATATCGGTATCGTCGATGTCAGTAAAAAAGAAATTCATTATTTGTCACTACGTATTATGACTTCTTGATTAGTATAAAATCTTTATTTACTTTAAGAAAAAGTATGTTTTACATACACTATTTTATTTTAATGAAATTTCATCCAACGACAATATCAATAAAATAATGTCAACCTTCAACAAACACAGCCGTTGTCAGTTGCAGATAAACTGGAAACAATCCGACGAATGCATTGAATTACGAAACATTAAAAATATCAACTTGCGAGTGATCGGTTATTATAGGTTTATTATGAGGTTGAGTTATACAATAATTTATACACATAAAATTTTAATTTATTATTGTACAAAACGAGATATGTCTCGTAATCTCGTCTCCTTTATATGTAAAGGCCTGTTTTAATCCAATTGTGGTGAACTTAAAATAGATCCTGTTATATCCATTTAATAACATCAATTTTATTTATAGATATTGGGTAACTGAGTGCTAAATATAACTTAGATACTCATGAAGATTTGTCTCCATACATGGGCTCACTTCGGAGTTAAAACGGAAAATAATTAAAGCGCAAATAATAAGCGCAATAGGGTACATTTAGAATTTTTTTGAAATATGAATGCTTCGTAATTAATACCTAAGATACAAAAACTATACTCATAACTTATAGGCATAATTTTCAAGTTATTTACGGACCATAAAAATATAGGAACAGATGAACGATTCGATATCACAAAATGAAATAATAAATAAATGTGGAAGTCAATTAGAAAGTGAATTTTCCTTTTTTGTCAAATATGATCTTGTGTATCGTAAACCCGTTTCTATCATTAGAAGACCAGACACGAGGTAGGTCTCCACATTTTCGTTGTAGACCTTCCTCGCATCGCGACGATACGATACGCTTTCTTCTTCCTCGGGCTCACTACAAGAGGATTCGAATAGTTTTCTTGTGTATATGTTTCCTTCAAGGAAATCTTCAAGGAAAATGAATAGGCTGAGACGGCGATAGTGTGTTCACCCAATCTCATTTCCACCTTCCAACGGATGGAATGACAGTCGAACCATCTCCAGTCAATATAAAATAATAATAAGCTGTATATACCCATTGTTATCATTTAATTCGTAGATAATATAGAGAGACTTAAAATATATATATTTTTTTTCCTAAAATTATATTTAGTCCGCATGTTTCTCGGTTTATTTGTTGTCTTCAAAATTATTAAACCGATTTTAACAAGATTTTAAGTCTGAGTATATTGTCAATTAAGTAGTCGATAAAATATCTCATATATAAATAATTTTTAATTTATATTATATAAACATTAAAAAGTCTCGACTGAAAACAAAACAACGACGTTAATCAATATAATAGATATCTAGTTAATATAACCGGTTAAAAGCTTTCAGAAAAACTTTATATAAAACGGGTACTTTTCTAGAATAATTAAACAAAAATTATTTCATAGATGCAAAACAAATAATGACTTCAATAAGACTGTAACAGACCAAGCTCATGATAAATTGACCTATGCAATTGAATTAAATCAACTGCATTATAATGCATAGCGTCGGGATTCTTGACATCTTTATGATATTATATTCAATTCCAATATATTAAGATAATGTGTGATTGTATAATTTAGAACAGAGATTTATAACTCTATCTTGGATCATTTATATTGAAAATTTAATAACATTTTTAAGTGTGTTATTATATGAGCGTTTGCGAGACGGGATAGACAAAGCAAATCAATTGTAATTAAAAATCAATTATTGTAACATAGTTTTTTATATAAAATACCTTGTTTATTCGATTAAACTCTTAGTAATCGGTCATACATTAATCGTAATTAAAATTCATCACAATAATGAAACATGTATTAATTTAACGAATCTATGTATAACTATGGCCACATGGTTAAAGTCATATATGTATTTTGTTACAGAGTAGTCTACTAATAAATTTTAGTTTAAACTGATTCATTTCGTTAAATAAAAAAGAATATGAAGAAGATGAAGATGAACAGTTGTAGACGGCCGTTTTTGGTCATTTTGAGGATAAAACTGATGATTATATTTATATAGGCTTAGAGATCTTGATTCACATATGTTAGAGGTATGTTATTCAGATTGATTATATTGAAAAATAAAATAGATTTCGTTTTATTTCTTTCATTAGTTTATAATTAGACCTATTCATTATGGAACTACTTATTATATTTTTTGTAGTTTTGAAGGTTTCACCAATTATAGAAATGAAATGTTATAAATACATTATTATAACAAATCTATTATACAGGTACATTGAACGTAACTCATACAGACAATGGGTGCAGATCGTCCGAGCTCTAGATAACAATGGAGGAATGTTAATTGATGTCGTTTAGTGAGACATTGATAAATGTAGACGGTTGTTGACTGAAGATTTAAAGAGTGCACATTATATTAATAATCATAAGAATATTGAACTCTCATTTATTCATTTAAATGAATATGTCGATATAAATAGATACTTAACAAAATGAAAATTCAGAAAACCGATAAAAAATTTCCGCTAACGTGCTGTCGATCTGTATGTTTCAAATCTTTGTAATTAAAATGTTGTAAAAATTATTTATCCATGGTTTGTAAAACAGTGAAAGCCTGATAAATTACCTTTAAAACCTGAAATTAAAAGGAATAAAGATTAATTAAAACAGCTTCCCAGAAACATTTTGCAGTTTTATATTATATAAAAATGTATGATGCATGTACAAAAAAAAAAGATGATCGTCAATAATTAAGGATTACTTATAATAGTTTTATTATTACATATACCACTTACCGCAGTCATTGTGATCAGTGATAAATCATTGCCAATAGCTGTTTTCACACCAAATTGTTTTTTCATGTAAGTGACTATAATGTAGTAGTTTTTCTTGTCTTTCATGTGTAAATTTGTCCAATCAAAATTGAGAAGTGTGTGATGGAGAAGAGACGCCTTAAAAGAATTTTCACGAAAAGATAATGGTGGTGAAGTAGGCTACATTGAGAGCTGGGCATAGAGAAAAAGTTTCTAATGCAATACCCAACGGCACTTTAATGCATCGGGAAAACCTATCTTAGATTGGTATTCAAAATACTCGTCTTTTATCGTAGCGTTTTGTTTCGTCTCGGACGAATCATTATTTGCCTCAGAGCTATTTGCTTTGAACTGGAACTTGAAACTTGCTTTGTATTTACTGCTCCATACTGTGGTACCAAAATCTTGTTATTTGAAGTGAGATTTTATTTAAAATTGAAATTTACCTTCGTTTTAATTTTTTCTCCAAACCAATTATAAGCAAAAATTTCAGCAAACATTGGCAGTAGGTGAGGAGCAAATCTCCAATTTATTTCCTAAAAGATATTTTAGTATGTCAAATAAATAATTAATAAATGTTTATTATGTCGAAATTTGATATAAACATCACACGTTTTGGCCCTTAACTTAATCATTACTTAGATAATATAAGATATTTAAAATATAAAAACCAATTATTTGAAATACATATGTTTGACAGTAATAATAAAATGATTTCACATATGTACTGTGGTCTTATACGAACAATAGTTTGGCATCAAAAAACATTTTCAGAGAAAATATTTAAGTATACTCCGACTTATTAGTACCTTACTCATCAGCAAGAAAATTAGACAGGTACACATCGCCGCATTGCAAAGAGGTACGAAAGCAAGCCATTTGTACATATTACTCAGTTGATTCATGTACCTGCAAGAAAATCAAGAAAGTCTTGGATAAGTTATATCAAAAAAAAATGGTCAATTCAAGCAAATGAAATACGAAAAACGTTGAGATAAGCCCAATCTTATATTAAACTGGGAAGTGTTATATCTTTTCAAACTATATGTGTATATTTATATTCTTTGTGAATATTAATATTTTAAGTACCTATATTAGATTTACTTACGCAACCTATTTTACATGAAACTTGTAAAAAGTTCGGAGACTCTGATTCAAACGATTCGCATAATTCTGTTTATTTTCTCCTTCCATTGGTGAAACTAATAAAATCTTACATAAACTATTGAAAGAAAGACACAAAAAGTAGATCAAAAGAACAAACCACATGTCCAAAATAATTGTGGATGATATTTCAAACAAAAAAATTGTGTGAAAAAACCAAGCCACTTCGAAATAAGGAGAAGTCATGGGCATCAAAGTAAGGGTGGATCTTGATAGCAAAATCTTTTCACCGTGAAGGTAATACCATAGTGTAGTCAACTCATAAATAGAACAAGGCAAGAGTACCATTGACAGTAAGACGTAGACAATTTTACTGCTCGTTTTCAAAATAGTTTTGATATCTTGGCTTGAGTCTGTCACGATGAGGTCTATAAAAGTACTCTTAGCTGTGATATAAAGTCTTCTAAATATAAATCGATTATTTATGAAAAGCAACATTTTGATGGGAAATACGACAATCATAATAATCGTATAACATGCTTCAGCTACAACCTCCGCATCGTTTGTGGTTTTAATACATTCCAAGGTTCCGAAAAAAACATAAATGAATAATGTTAAATTAAACAACTGGTGTACGTAATATTTTTTCCACGTCCATCCAGGATCTAGTATTTGCTGTCCAAAAATTCTTTGTAATAGAAGAGCAACAGTTGTGATACGATCTATATCATTTTTTCTACCCACGGTTTTAGAGTATTTTTCAAACAGCGATTTAAGCATTTTCAATAGTTTCATATGCTAAGATAAACTGTGATTTATAGGTTACTCGCGTTGTTTTATAATAAGAGGTACTGTCATGAACTAAGTGTTCCTGCAAATATTATCTGTTTTATCAGTTTACAAATTTAAACAAAACAACTAATGCTTTTTAAAAATACGATTCTGGGATATTATTATCATCGCTTAATTGTTAATGCATATGTATGTATATGTATGTATACTAAAGATCACAATACGTCACATACAGGATTATCTATTTGCGGACAATAGCTAATTACATTGTCATATTATTCGTGATTGTAATAGTGACCGCAAAGGCGTCTTAGATAAGTTATGCATGACAATTGTTTCTTTAATTTTCATCATAACAACATGCATATCGGGTATATTTTTTCTACCAGAGTTCATACTTAAAGTTAAAGTATATAAACAATAAAATTTTTAGATAAAAAAATACCTATTTTTATTGGATTGTAATATTCCAGAACATGTATTAATTTGATACAATTTCAAAAACGTTACGACTCTAATTGTACAACAAATGACGAATGTGTTGTTATTATTCCATTAGCGAAATTAATCTTTTGCCACCTTGTTTTGTTTCTGCTGCTCTGTAATTAACCGATTTGAAGCAATTTTATCGATAAATCATACAACACATTGCTACTATTTCAATATCTCTAAGAACGTTTTAAATTATAAGACTTTGAAATTTATCTATTACCCTTGTGGTTCGTTATTTATTGTCCTCCGTGGTGACTTAAAGCGTTTTTATTTTGATTAAAATGAAAAATCGAAATCCATTTCTCTAATTGCCCAGTTGCTATAAAATTGCACAACCATAATTTGATGGTAATAAAATAGTCATTTAGAAAATATGAGTTACGCTGTGAGATCTACAAATTTTATTTGCTTAATGGTTTTCGTTTATCGACGTTATTTCTTTTTTTATATGCCAGAATACATTAATTCATGTTTTTGTTCTCGAAAGAAAAGTACAGTCACAGTATAAAAAAACAATCGTAATACTATTGTAAATCCTCACTGAACCACTTGTGTTTTGAAGCACAAATATGAACAAAATATAAATATATGTACATTTAGCCTATTTATGTTAAACAGAATTGTTGTTTAATTACTATTGTTGATTAATGAAGAATAAAAATATATGTTTTATCATTTAAATAATTGTGAATGAAGAAAAAAATAAACAACGAAGAATAAAAAAGTATTAATGTTGGTTACATACAACCGAATCAACAAAACTTATTAAACTTTAAAATTAAATTCTTAAATATAAACTCGATGATACAAAGCGGTGTTTAAAGGCATATTCTTTGTTTAGTTTTCTGTTTCCCGCAGCTAGTCATCTATAAAATGTATAATTATAGTAAAAGCATTTTATTAGCGCCATGAAAAGTTTAATTTGTGATTACGTCGCGCCGTAAACTGTTCTTTATATCGGAGCTGAATTTAATTTTCATTTCCGTCTTTACAGTGTCGTTAATTCATAAAATACTGTAACTTTACTATATACTTAAGTATACTTATAGTGTTGATATTTAAGAAGCAAGAGTATAATAACAATTGTAAGATGACATTATAATAGTTGTATGAAAATTGTAGGCCTTACCAAACTCCAGTACTAAAAGTATACGATTGTAATTATTGTAATGACTTCATAAGTAATCTATAATCTATATATATAAAAGAAAGTCGTGTTAGTGACTTCACTTCTAACCCAAGAACGGCTGAACCGATTCAGCTGAAAATTGGCAGGGAGGTAGTTTAGAACCAGGAAATTGCAGTAGGATACTTTTTATCCCGTTCGACAGCATTCCCGTGGGACTTGATATGAAACGTCAGTCATTATAAAACGTGGAATAACACAATAGACAGCTATGCAATTGACGTATAATGACAGATATGTAATGACGTATGGATGACAATTAGATATTTGTAAGAAATCTACTATATAAAACTAAAAATATTTAGGTAATGTGTTTGTAGTTTGAACTCAAAAACCATTTAGTATTTGCGGGATAAATTTAAAAAATCTGTGTTTTTCACATGGGCAGTTATATTTTGCGTGTTCACGAGTTTGGAAACCATACGCTTTATTTGTGTTAAAGTTAGATCAAAACACAAAAAATGTGGTTTACAAAGGAGCACTTCAATGAAACGGATAATTTGCGGACACGTATGTATAACGCTTCGATTCGATATCTGCGTTGGATTCACTTTCATTTACTTAGAGAAGTTCAACTAAATAACCCTTCATTTTTGTAATCGAAATGAATTAATTACAGTTGTGAAATGAAATAAAAATTTTCCTTTTCAAATATAAAAAAAAAAAACTTCATCTTTTAATCACCAAACGAAATGTTATATAAAAGCCTTCTGGTGGCGAAACGGAGTTCGCCAGGTTTACTAGTTGTAGTATAAAAATATCGTATTTAATTTTAAGGAAAATACAAAATCTGAAATCCTATTTCTCTGAATCAATAATAACAAATATAAAGCCAGAAGTCCACGTTTGTTGTCAATCTCAAAAAGAATTTAAGATCTTATTTTCTCAACAAACAAGGTGGCAACTTTGCTATTTCCGAACGTAATCGAATTTTTAAAGTTTTCAATCTAAGATAGATTGTTGTTTCAGATGACGGTGTAGTTTATGTCAATGCTTGAGGCGAAATAACAATTGTAGATATATAATAGAAATAGAAGTATAGTTATGATACAGGACAAAAAACTTCCCACAATTGTGTACCAAAATCTGAAACAGCAAAATCGCCTCTGAAATAACCCGTCACAATTATAAAACATAAACTTCATACATTATGAGGGGCGCAGTCTATACTTGGTCAACTATTTACCGTGTTAATATACAGAAACTAACGATTTTAATTACATTAATTATTTATCACCACAAATAAATAATATAGTGGTATTTAATATGTCATTTAGTAATAACATCAAACGTATAAAATATAGAAAGAGAAATCTGTGTATAACGGTATACTTTTTATAGTTCTAACTTTTTTAATCAGATTTAAAGTCTTATAAACATTAGATACAAATATTCAATAAAATACTCTTCTAAACCAAATCTGATCTGTACTGATATAAAATAAGCCATAATTTTATCACATTTAAGAACGTTTTTTGGAATAAATCCTAAATCATGTAAATTAATTTCTTGTCAAAACGTAGGCGCGATAAATGGTGTTAAATGCTTCAACTTGAATACGTCTTCCAAGACTTTCCTTATTAATTTCAAATGGCGTTTGTCAAAATCCAAGTTCTATTTATATTTGCTTGAATTTATTTTATTTTATTGAAATTAAGTTGTAATATCATTTATAATAAAAAAAAACACACAGAAAGTTATATATTTATGTAAATGAGTAAATTTTTATATTTTAATAATAGATATATTTTCCCTTAAACACTTCTTAATGCATTGCATTTGAGTTTCGCGAGTTTTATTAATTTAAATGAAATACTACGCTCGCTTTATTTATGTAAAAAAACTACATACTCCTGACATTTCGGTAACTTTTCAGCAACCGTGGTAACGGGCAGATGAGATGTGATATTGTGATATTTTTATGTTCGACGTGTTACATTAAGTCAGTTATGCGTTTTCTTATCATACCAGTTTATGCATCTCTAGGATAATAATTTATGGAATCTCATCGCGTTCCCTTATTAATAGTGTCATTTAAAAGTGATAAAATCATAATGGCTCCCATTATGCTTAATGGACATCTGTTACACAGAAAATTAAGACACCTTGTCTGCCTGGCTTATGTATGAGATCTCCATCTTTTTGGTTGAATCACAAATAATAGGTAATTAATCATCTTATAGATGCATGCAATTAACTATTATAACAAATATACATTTAACGAAAAGTGTTTATCATGTTATT